CAGAGTCATCAATTGAATTTCTGCAACTTTATCAAGAAACACAATATTGCAGTAGCAACAAAACAACAACCTTTCACACAGAATCACACACAATAATTTCATATAACCAACCCCACATATCACTTATCATATACCCAATTATAGAACAAGAACCCCACCCTTACCTTGAATTGGAGACCGCTCTATTCCACCGGTTGAACATCGCTTTGCCAAAGTTTCCAACCTTTGCCTCTTTTTCCTCTTTTCTACGATTTTGCAACTTCCATGTTCCCACAAAATACTCAAGACTTTTTCCTTATTCCTTCTAATTAACTTAATCCTCATAATTAGCTTAACCTTATAATTATTAATATTCTTATTGGGCCTCACTTTCACACCCCACCTAATACTCCATACAACCAAATAATGAGCCAAACTAATAAACCTTATATTATTCTAATATCTATATTAATATTATTACTAATATTAATCAACCAATCAATTAAATATCAACCAAATAACAACTTAACAACTTAAATCAACATTTCTCGACATTACGCAACTTCAACAATTTCAACAACATTTTCAACCATTAACCCATAATTAATTTAATTAAATAATTAATTTAATTAAATTAACAGGCGTTACATCTGGCATGTGTGCTCAATATCTTACCTCAGTCTGCAGATCAAGACTTGTGGTTGAGTTTGTACATTTTGATGTTTGATTCCTGGAAGATTTGTTGTTGTATCTTTTAGCAAATATTATTCAGTAAGATTTGCTAAAAAAAATTTATAATTCATAAGTTTGAAGATTTAATTAGATATGAGTTAATTAAAAGGATCTGGAGTTGGTTTAAATAAGAAGATTTGATTGGATTTGTATTGAAAAAAGATTTAATTAGATATGCTTTGAAGATAGATTTGGTTAATCCAAGATTGTGCTGAATATTTAATTAAACAAATATTTCATTAAGAGATTTAATGAAATTTGTTTTAATTATAAGATACTCCCTTCGGTCTCATTTATAAGAAAAAATTAACTTTTTAGATATATTAAATAAGTAATGTATTTGGATAATATATTGTCCAAATACATTACTTATTCAATGTATAAAAAAAATTAATTTTTTCTTATAAATGAGACCGGAGGGAGTATGAATTTGCAATTAATGAAAAGATCTTCCATCAAAGATTTAAAAGCGTGGTTCAATTTTAGCAAGAGATTTATTTTGAATCATTTACTTGAGAAGTTGAGATTGTGATTTATATCAAGTAAAAATTTAATTTGATGTGTTCAAGATTCAGAATTATGTCACAAGGATAGATGTCAAACTGAATGTTCTATCATGTGTGTAACATCTGACCTCTGATAACATACCATGATTGTTGTTATTCTGAGTGTAAGTTCTGAATATATACAACGAGATTTGTTGCTATATTTTAATAATGTGTTATGTAGATTTGTTTGATTAGATTGGACGTGATCAAATCAATTTAATTAGATATTTAAATTCGAATCAAATCAAATATTTTTGTTGGAGATTGTTAAGAAATATATCAAAACAAAATCTCCTATATTTTTAGAGGAGATCAAAGTTGTTTATGCCCATTAGAAAAATCCCAATCCACATTACTATTTAAGGAGACTCAAACCTCTCTTGAGAGGGCGAGTGCAAGTATTGAAGATTCTTGGTGTTAGAGTTTCTCTTTTGAGTCTTTGTTTGTGCATCATTCTAGTGCATGCATTCATATCTTTAGGCATATAGTTTGATTTGTTTGTTGAGTTGTAATTCAATATTGAATATTCTATTTATTGAGTTGAAGGGTTAATGATCGGGAGAAAGTGAGAGAAATTCTCATATTTAGGAGGAGTCCTAAATAAAAGTCACTAGGATTAGGAAGAATCATTCAAAATAGTGGATTTCCTTTCTTTGGTTGGAAGTATCTCAGATGTAGGTGATGTTGCACCAAACTAGGTTAACAATTCTGTGTTATTTACTGCTTTGCGTTTTAAATTATAATTTTTAGTTTTTTGATATACGTTATCCCACACATCGTGTCCGACATCTATCGCTAAATTTTGTCATCTATCATAAATCTGTTGTACACACTATCCCATACCTCTGGTCTAACATTTATCTCGATTACAAAATTACAAATTTAATAGAATTTAAAAATCATACTAATTTGTGTGGGTGGAGAGTTTAGATAAATAATTTATATTATATAGTAATAATTTGAATATAAAAAATATATTTAATATAATTTAAAAATCATACTAATTTGTGTGGGTGGAGAGTTTAGATAAATAATTTATATTATATAGTAATAATTTTAATATAAAAAATATATTAATAATATTCTAACACTCTCACAATATTTATTTTTTTCAGTCTACTTTTTATTATTCTTTCAAAGTTCTACTGTCTTCTCTTCTCCTCTCCAAACCGGCGTACTACAAGTAAAATAGCCAGGTTCCGAACCTTTCGAGTATATCAATTCTTCATGATGGGATTCACGTTTGCAGTTTCTTTTGGTTCCGATTTTGTGCTCACAAGAACCACTCATCAAACCAGATCAATCAACTCCACAATTACACACCACAACAACAATAAAACCTTTGCTTTCAACTTCTCAAACCATAAGGATATTCACACACCAATTTGCGTATCAAAGCAAGAATCGATTCAATTTGAGGACAGGGAAAGCCCAAATCAGGTAACTCAACTAACCCACCTTCATGTTATTTATATCCAGTAATCTCTCAAGTTCTCTGCATTTTTTTTATATATATTACAGGTTAAAGAAGAGATCAAACAATGTTACGAACTCATAAACAGATTGGGAAGAGGAATTGTGTATTTGGGTTCTTCTAGAATGGACTCCACCCATTCGCATTATGTACAAGCACAAGATTTGGCTAAAGAGGCAAGTCAATTCTTACAATACCTTCCTGCATCTTTTCTTGATTACTTGTCAATAGCGCGCTATAGAAGATGTGCTTATTTTTTTTATCTATACATGATGTTTCTTTGCAGATAGTAAGTCTTTTGGAATGCACTACATGGTCGGGGGCTGGACCGGGACTAATGGATGCTGTTACTCGAGGTGCTATGCAGGCAGGAAAACCGGTTGGTGGATTCAAGATAGGAAGAGAAGCTGGGGAATGGACAGCATCCAACTTTCATCCATACTTACCACCTGAAAACTACCTTACCTGCAGGTGATCCACTACCCTTGCTTAATAGCTTCTTCATATTGAATATGGATCCTCTCCTATTTGAAAGTAACAAGATGATGTAGTTGTATTAGACCTCTTTTGCCACATATTGCAACTTTGGTTCGGGTGACTGGTTTAGAATGTCAAACCTGTCAACTCGACTTGACTCAATGATGCCATTTCCCCCCTCAATTTGAATATATTAGCTTGTGAGTATGTTATTTGTACTTCAAATGTTTAAGGAGCATAGGTGTTTTGATTTAATCACAATTTCTTTAGGAACAAATTATGTTGTTTCCTTTAGGACCCGCGAACCCCACCCAATCCTCATTAGATTGTTTTTTTTTTAAATAGTAGAAACTATGAGTTGGGTATGCAACTTAAATCAAAGAAACCTTTTTGGATCAAGTATCGGGTTTGGCCAAACCTGACCTGAGCGGTGTACACTCTTAGGATCATATCTATATTACATTCAAATAGGAGATAATCCAACATAAATATGACGGCTAGTAACTTCCTAGACTGTTTGAAGTTCAGGTTTTTCTCTGCAAGGAAGCACGGGCTGGTCGATGCTGTCGTGAGGAACAATGCATTTGATAAAACTGCTGTTGTTGCCCTTCCTGGTGGTATTGGTACTCTAGACGAGATGTTCGAGATGCTGACATTAATTCAACTAGAGCGAATCGGATCTAAGCATCCTGTTCCCTTCCTATTGATGAACTACGATTCTTTTTACTCAAAACTTCTCGACTTTTTAGATGTTTGTGAGGATTGGGGAACTGTCTCTAAAGGAGAGGTTGCATCATTGTGGAAGGTTTGTAATAGCAACTCAGAAGCTTTGGCTTACCTTGCAGCTTTCTACCGCATTTCTTCTGGTGATACAAGTCAGAAGAATGAAACTGAATTGCATAGTACACATGATTTAATCTCTTGATAAGAATTTTGCTTTATTTTCCCTTGAATAATACTAAGTAATTATTATGTCTCTCAACTAAGCTTGAAAATAATGCGTGTATCTTCTGGAATTGTTAAAATAATATGAGGTTTTTCCTCTAGCAATTGTGGCTATTGCTGGTCTTTTATCTATCAAGAAAGAGATTCACTTCAATGGGAAAGGTTTACTGAAAACTTAAGTTCAGAGTTGGACAATAATCCAAGTTTAAATGTTGTAACAAAGATTTAGGCTTTAAGTTTCATGATTTATTTTACAATCTCAAATAAGGTTTCTTCTAATACTTTGGAACATATTTTGAAGACTATGTAGCACCATGAGAAGACGAAAACCTTGTCAGTTAGTGCCTACTTCTAGTAAAAGTAACCTTGGTCTGACCCTTTTGAGAATCTCAATTCTCTATGATGGGATTCTCGTTTGCAGTTTCATTTGGATCTAATTTTGTGCTCAGAAGAACCACTCATCTAACCAGATCAATCAACTCCACAACACACCACAACAACAAAACCCTTGCTTAGTTACTTAGTTAATTGATTATCTGGAAACTGAAGTGTATATTTATTGTTTTGTTAATAGATTATTTTCTTGGGAACACATATTTGAAGAAAAAAGGGGAGATGATTATCAAATGGGGAAAATCATGAAGAGCCAAAATTGCTTTAAAAAAATACTTAAAAAGCTTTCAAATTAAGCCAAAATAAAATACTAAACAAGTCATGATTTTGTCTTCTGCAGTAACATCTGCGAAAATGTTGTTTGTGTTCCCATAAGATGCAAACCTTGGTCGTTAGTGCCCACTTCTAGTAAAGTAACCTTGGTCTGACCCTTTTGAGAATCTCATTTCTCAATGACGGGATTCTTGTTGGCAGTTTCGTTTCGTTCCGGTATTATGCTCAGAAGAACCACTCATCAAACCAGATTAATCAGCCACACAACAACACATCACAACAATAACACCCTTCGTTTCAACTTCTCAAACCATAATAAAGCCACTCACAGACCAGTTTTTGTATCAAAGCAAGCATCAGTTGAATTTGATGACAGGAAAAGCCCAAATCAGGTAACAGTAACAAACTCAGCTTCATATTATTTATATTCAGTAACCCAAAAACACATTTATACAATGCTTCATATTGATTACTCACAGACCAGTTTTTTTTATAGGGCTTGAAATAGTTATGGACTTCTAGGATTCATATGCTAATTTCCTGCTTTTGGAGTCTACTGATTATGAGCTTTGTTTTCACTTTCATGTTGTATTTTATTTCATGATGCAATTTATGATGTACCACCCTTAGAATTATTGGACTCAAACAACGTGGCTCTGGGGGCTGGTGCGATCTCTCGGTGCATGAAACATCTCTAAGAAACAAAAAGGAAATCATAGTTGAAAGCTTTGGTTATAACCGGCTCAACAATATGCTTCTCTAGAAAAACACGTTGCGCGGAAAGTTTTACTGAAGGAATTCTTTTGCATGATTACATCTAATAACTATATAATAATTTCTGTTGCTCTCAGTTTTTGTAAATATTATTACGGGTTAAAGAAGAGATCTAACAATGTTATGAACTCGTAAACAGATTAGGATGAGGAATTGTGTATCTGGGTTCTTATAGAATGGGCTCAGTCATTCTTCATATGATGTTCGAGCCCAAGAATTGGGTAAAGAGGCAAGTAAATTCTTACAATAGCTTACAATAGCTTCCTGCATGTTTTCTTGGTTACTTGTTAGGTGAGTAACTAATAGCTCTACAAGATTTGAATTTATAAAAACGAAAAAAACAAGTTCAGTTAGCATCTATGACATATATATTAATAATAAAAATACTAGTAATTTATGTGAAGATAAGTGTTCCAAAGTGTGGGGAAAAACAAAGCTTCTTGAGGTAAAAAAATAAAGTGTACAAACATGAATTTGTAGATGATGTTTGTTTGTCTAATAGTATGGAGCCAAAACCAAAATCATGGATGATATTCAAAGCTACTTTCTTTTTTAGTTCTGAACTAATTTTAGAAAGTTCTGAAACTTTTTCCTCTCTGAAGTCTGAACTGGTTAAAAAACTATTCAAAATTCTGCATCAATAGATCTGTTCTGCATCAATAACATTTCAACTTCATTTCCGATAAGTTTTGGTACTTGGCTATTTATTTCTGTTTCTCTTTTTTCTTTAATATATTTCTGATTTATAAAATAAAAGGAGTATAGAGTAGATGACTACTTGTTATTTTAACATGTTAATGATTAGATCAGTTCAAGTGGATGAGTCTTTTATTTTTTTATCTACTAATCAAAACTTTTTTTCATTATTTTTATTGTGATGACCTGCAAGCTGACTTATTTTTTGTACCAGGGGCCAATTAAACCATACTTTCACATACTATTAAAATTAAAAGGCCTTGGCATATGCTTTCAGTTGTTGCTGTTCTGACAATCAAAATGTGCAACTTAATTTATGAAGAAGGTTGCACATAACAAATACTCCTATTATTTTAACATGCATAGTTTTCAACGTTAGTTGTTCGAATATAATGTGAATGGAAGGGAATTTAGTTCAAAAATAAAATTACTTTGTTACTCATGCTGTAAGTTTCCTTTATTCATTTCTTCATGATAGAAGTTGCCTTATTACCTTGCTACTTCATGATAGAATTTTCCTTGTTCCTTTCTTTATGATAGAAATTGCCTTATTCCCTTGTTACTTCATGATAGAATTTGCCTTATTCTTTTCTTCATGATACAAGTTACTTTATTCCCTTGTTATTTCATAATACAAGTTACCTTATTCCCTTGTTATATCATAATATAAATTGCGCAAACAAGGTTTTAAGCATAACAAACCATATATATAGTCTTCACAAAACAAAACATCAATAATCAGAGCTTAACTCAAATGGCGGAAATGGCGGTGTCTTTAGCTGTTGACCAACTACTTCCACTGTTAAAAGAAGAAGCCAATCTGTTGAGGGGTATTCACAAGGAGTTTGCAGACCTTAAATATGAACTGGAAAGTATTCAAGCATTCCTTAAGGATGCAGATAAAAGAGCCGCAACAACTGAAGGAGTCAAAATTTGGGTGAAGCAGGTTAGGGAAGCAGCTTTTCGTATTGAAGATATCGTTGATGATTATATGATCCAGGTGGAACAAAAGCCTCCTCATCCTGGATGTGTAGCGTTGTTCCATAAGCTCAAAAGTATGATCCCTCGCCGTCGAATAGCGTCTGAGATTCAAGACGTTAAGTCATATATTCGTGGGGTGAAGGAAAGAAGTGAAAGATATGGCTTCCAAGAACAAAGATCAAGCAGTTCTGAAGACAATCGAAATTCTAAATGGAACGACCCTCCAGTGGCTGCTCTTTGCATTGAAGAATCTGAAGTTGTGGGCTTTGAAGTGCCAAGGAAAAGATTGACTAATTGGATGGTAAAGGGAAGGAAAGACCGCACCGTAGTTTCTGTGGTAGGAATGGGGGGGCAAGGAAAAACCACTCTTGCCAAGAAAGTTTTTGACAGCAAGGATGTCACCAGATACTTCGATTGTCGTGTATGGATCACAGTCTCTCAATCATATAATGTTGAAGAGTTGTTGAGGGACATGCTTATAAAGTTTTACAAAGAAAAAGGATGCAATGTTCCTATGGATATTTCTCGAATGGATCGAGCGTCATTGACTGATGAAGTGCGGAAATACTTGCAGCAAAAGAGGTACGTTGTCGTGTTTGATGATGTTTGGAGTGTACATTTTTGGGATGATATTGAATTTGCTGTAATTGATAATAAAAATGGAAGTAGGATATTTATCACAACTAGGAACCAAAATGTTGTGGTTTCTTGTAAAAAATCTTCTTTCATTGAGATGCTTGAATTGCAACCTTTAACTCAAAAACAATCTTTAGAGTTGTTCAATAAGAAGGCATTCAAATTGGACTATGATGGGTGCTGTCCAAAAGAGCACACTGATTTAGCCAATGAAATTGTTCAAAAATGCAATGGCTTACCACTTGCAATTGTTACCATTGGTGGTCTTTTGTCTACAAAAGAGAAAACTGGGCTTCAGTGGGATAGATTTAGAGAAAACATAATTTCAGAGCTAAAGAAAGATACTCATTTAATAGGGATAAAAGAAATTATTGGTTTAAGCTATGATGATTTGCCTTATTATCTCAAGTCATGTTTGTTGTATTTTGTAATATATCCAGAAGATTATGCAGTTAGATCAAAGAAAGTGATTCAACAATGGATAGCTGAAGGGTTTGTGAAGAAGGAAATAGGGAAGACTTTGGAAGAAGTTGCAGAAGGATATTTAACGGAGTTGATCCATAGAAGCTTGGTGCAAGTATCCTCGCTTAGATATGATGGTAAGGTTAAACGTTGTCGTGTTCATGATCTAATACGCGATATGATGCTTGAAAAAAATGAGGATTTAAATTTTTGCAAGTATATTAGTGATGGTGAACAATCACCCTTAAGTGGAATAGTTCGACGCTTATTAGTAACAACCGAATTAACAACCACCGGTTTTTATGATTTAATTCCGAGTACTGATAGGTTGCATGTTCGATCATTATTTATTTTCTCAAATAATGCATCAACTTTCTTAGTTTTTGGGAGAATCCCTACAAAATTCAGGTTGTTGAAGGTTCTTGATTTTGAATATGTTCGATTATTGCATGTTCCTAATGAGGTTGGAAGTTTGATCCATTTGAAGTATTTAAAGTTCAACTATATTAAGGATGGTAAAATTCCAAAATCCATTGGCATGCTCCAGAACCTAGAGACCTTAGAAGTAACGAATACAGATACCCTTCAGTTGCCGAAAGAGATTAGCAAGCTTAGAAAGCTAAGACATCTTATCGGTACTAATCTTTCTTTGATTGAACTAAAGAATGGTATTGGAGAGATGACATCCCTACAAACGCTACGAAATGTTGATTTAGATATGAATGGAGCAACAGAAGTAATTAAAGAGTTAGGAAAGCTGAAACAAATCAGGGATTTGGGGTTGATTAATGTTCATACAGAAGATGGAAGCAGTATATCTTCTTCAATCAATGAAATGCGACACTTGGAGAAACTATTTGTTGCATCATCATCTAAGAGATCTAAGAGTTTTCTTAAACTCGATGACGTGCATTTGAATTCCACGTCAACTATGGTTCGCAAACTTACACTAAATGGGTTGTTGATGAAGTTGCCAGAGTGGATTCCAGAGTTTCAAAATCTTGTTGTGTTGAGGTTGATGTATTCATTCTTACATAAAGATCCAATGCCATCACTAAAAAATTTGCAGCACTTGTTGATTCTCTCTATTAAAGAACTTGCTTATGATGGTCTATGTTTGCATTTTGAAGATGGAGGGTTTCAGAAACTAAGGGAACTGTATGTTGAAACAAGTACCTTGAGAGTTATTATTATCGACAAAGGAGCACTTCCCTCTCTGAAAAAGCTTCGGTTATACAAACTCTTCTCTATGAAGAATATACCCATAGGAATCCAACACCTAGAGAAGCTTGAAGTTCTCTATATTGGGCATACTGGAATTGAACATTTGGAGGACATTTCTACTGAAGATTGGAATTGGATCTTCAAGCATGTGCCCACATTAGAAATTAATACCCGTACTGGGTTTACTACTCTAAATCTACACCTACTGGATTTACTATAAATCTAAGGAGGTAGAAATAATACTTTATCATACTCAATGGGAAAAAAGGTGTGATTTTTCTTCCTATAACTTATTTTTTGTATTGGTTCAGTCACCCAGATACAAGCTTAATTTTCTTCTGTTCTATCATCCTCAAGGGTAGGGGTGGGAATAAGTCAGACTCATCTACATTGGCCTATGGTCTAGCGTATTTGAGGTCAGGTCTGGTCAAATTTATTTACTAAAAAGGTTAGGTTTAGGTTTTTTTAAAAGTCTATTTAATTAAATAGGTCAGACTTAAACTTTTAAAAAAACCTATGAAATCTTATAAGCCGGTCTATATTTTTATATATTAAAAATAGTCTAAATATGCTGGTCTATATATAAATATATATTAGAAAAAGGTTAAATAGACAGACATATATATTAAATAAAATGCTAAATAGATCGGCCTATATATGCATATATAGGTCGACTTATAAAGCTTTGTAAATAATATGGATTTATTGAAAATCTTAATGAGAAACAAACTTTTAAATAGGCTTTCAGGTCAGGCTAGGCCAAAAAAATGAGTCTATAATAGGTCATAAGTCAGACCCAGGCCTTGTAAATTTATCGTAGGTCAGGTTTAGACCTTATAAAATATAGAATAGCCTAGCCTATTACAACCCCTACTCAAGGGCTATTTTTCTCATTGAAAATAGTAATAATTTTCTGTGATTTGGCAGGTGTTGGGCTTCAACATAAAATGCAATGGCAATTCAGATTCTCCACTCAGACTTTTTCTGCAACACTTTGGGTTTAGTTTGTTTTTCTTGAATAATAATGGTCTATGAAATCTCTAAATCATGGATTGGCTTAATATTTGATATTTGAGTTGTTTGTAATTGTAATTGTTGCTTTCGTTGTTTGTAATTGGATTTGTTGCTTTCTACTCCCTCCGTTTCATTCATTGATTGTAATTGTATTTGTTGCTTTCTACTCCCTCTGTTGTATTCATTTGCACTTTATGTTTCAAAATAAATATTTTTATAGAATATCAATATAATATTTATTATTTTTTTCTATTAATATGTCTCAACATATTTAGTCATTTTTTTTAAAAACCGTACAGATCTCAAATAAGCCAGTTATTATGAGATGGAGGAAATGTTCTCTTTTTCTATTCATCCATAAGATAAGAAAGTACCATTGACTTCATTACTCTCTTCAAATTCGAGTTTTTTTTTTTGGAAAAGCTTTTTATAAGCTTTTTAAGTTGTTAAAAATTTATCTGTAACAAAATTATTCAAAAACATATTAACTTAATAGCGTATTCTAAAATTGATGCAAACTATCAGCTTGTCATAACAAAAAAAAGTTAAGTCCAAAATATATTTTTGTAGAAGCCTTAATAAAAAATGCATCAGGCTTAAAAAAATGATTTAATTAATTTGATTGATTTTTATTTACAAAAATATCAGGAACCTTGCATAATAAAATCATCACAACTTTTATTCAAATGACTGAAATTGTTGTATCTGCTGTTAAGGGAAGAAGCCAATCTGGTGAGAGGTGTTCACAAGGACTTTGAAGACATTAAAGATGAACTCGAGAGCATCCTAGCTCTCCTTAAAGATGTTGATAAAAGAGTTGTAGTTGACAGGGACAACACATTAGTGAAGGAGTCAAAATGTGGTTGAAGTAGCTTTTCGTATCGAAGATATCATTGATGAATATTTGATCCATGTGGGACAACAACCTCGTGATTCTAACAGGAAGGGAAGACTGCACTGTCATCTCTGTGGTAGGAAAGGGGGCAAGGTAAAACAACTCTAGCCAAGAAAATTTACTCCTTTCCATAAGCATGAGATGTTTAGTCATGAAAATCGAAGCGTTATTTTCTTCTGTCATATGCTTTATTATTTTATCTAAGAATCACCAATTATGAGGTATTGTTCGAAAGAGTGTAATTTTCACAATGTATAGTGATAATTTGCAGTGATGTGATTTGTTAGGTGTTACTAAGGGTGAAAATAGACTGGGCCGAGTTAAACTTTGTCAAGTTTGAGTCTGACTTGTTAAAAAATTCAAAATTTAAGCATGTCCTGTGACTTATTCCATGCTTATTTTTCGGCTTGAGCTTGACCTTTTCAAAGATCTGATTATCCTATTAGTCTGTTTAAAAAGCTTATAATAAACATGTGTAAATAAGGAAAAGTACAATGAGACTAAATGTTTGTTTACATTGACTTATTTGAGCTTAACATAGTAGCATAAGCGTTTTGAGAATATTTATTTGGGAGAACTTATGAATACAACTTATGACATTATTCATAAGGTTTTTTCAACTTTTTTTCACAAGTTCTTCACGATAACTAAGTTTTACTTTTGTATTTTACTATAAAGTACAAAACACTATAAAAAGTAGTAAAATTATTCGTATTTATTAAAATAGGTCGGCTTGATAGGCTTAAAAGACTTTATATAAAAACCTAGGTCTTTTATACTAAAAAAAATCTGGTCTTGACCTGTGTAGGTTAAGCTGTAGGTCTCTGTTAGTTGGCCTGACTTATTCCCATCCCTAGGTGTTAGACTTTAACTTCAAGTGCAATGACAATTTAGACTCTTCACATGGACTTTAACTACAACACTTGTTTATGTTTTAATTGTGATAGTATGCAACAACTACATTATTTTATGAGAGATTACACAATGTATTTGAATTACTTAGTACATCCAATACACCACCTTAATTCAAATTCTCTAAGTTCTCCATGCCTAAGTTCCTCACCAACTTCTTGAGCACATCATTTATGACTCCTTTCGTCAACAAATTTATAACTTGTTCTTCGCTTCGACAATATCTCAACCTCAACTTGCCTTCACACACCAGACCTCTCAAGTAATGAAATATCATCTCAATATGCTTGCTCTTTGCATATGCAATGTGATTTTTAGCAAGGTTAATGGTCGAAAAATTATCAACCAAGAGTGTGACAGCTTCTCCAACCTTGTTGCCCAGCTATTCTAGCAGATTCATAAACCACACAGCTTGACACGCACACAACAACGCAACGATATACTCGGCCTCACAAGAAGAGAGTGCCAGCACAAGTTTTTTTAGAACACCAAGAGATTGGTGCTCCTCTAAACATAAAGATATAACCAGTCGTAGACTTTCGATCATCCTTATCTCCACACCAATTGGAATCCGTGTAACCGAGCAAATCGCATTTTCTTCCTGTATCAACTACGGGAAAGAGAATTCCACAGCCAAAATTTCCTTTGACGTATTTTATGACCCTCTTAACTACTGCCAAGTGAGACACCTTTGGTCTCTCCATGAATCTACTCGCAATACCGATACTATACACCAAATCTGACAGCATATTGCACAAATAATGTAATGATCCAATCAGTCTCATATATTGCGTTGGATCCACATTCTTCTCATCATCCCTTTTGGACAGCTGCAACCTTGCTTCAGGTGGTGTATTGGCAGTATTACAATGCTCCATATCACACCTTTTCAAAATTTCAAGAGCATACTTTCTTTGATGCATAAGCAGTCCCAATTTTGACTTGTGGAACTCTATGCCAAGAAAGTAAGTCATGATCTCAAGGTCACTCATTTCAAACTCCTCAATAAGTTCACCTTTGAACTTAGAGATACTCAACTCCTTGTTGTCTGTGATCAACAAATCATTCACATATAAGCAAAGTATTATCACATATTTGCTTGCATCCGTCTTCACATAGACACCATGTTCGAAAACACATTTCTTGAAGCCAACATTAACTAGGAAACTATCAATGCGTTTGTTTCAAGCTCTATGAGATTGTTTCAAACCATAAAGTACTTTCTTCAATTTGTAGACCCTTCCCTCTTGATTTGTCACCACAAAACCAGGGGGCTGCTCTACATAAACTTCCTCCTTAAGTGGATCATTCAAAAATGCAGATTTCACATCTATTTGATAAATTGGCCCATTATTGTTATTCACAATACCAACAACCCGCTGTATAGTTTATATCCTAGCAACAAGTGAAAAATGTATTACCCAAAATAATTAGATTACTTTTTAATTATTTAATTGTGAGTATTGTGACTTATTTGTGAGTTTATGTGATGTTTTGATGAATATGATGTGGGATGTGATGTTATGTGTGGTATAGTGGGAAATAAGGAGACATTAGGTATTTTAAATAATTTTAGATAATTAGAGTAATTATTTTAAATGATTTTAATTGGGGAGAAAGTGATAATAATATGATGTAGAAACTATAAGGGCAAGGTAGTAAGTTGTAAGAGGTTAAGTGATAAAAAATGTGGAAGATCATATTAGGGGTCCAAGGGGTAAGTTTGACAAAAGAAAAAAGAGAGTGTTAGTGTTTTCATTTTTTGAAATCGTGAGAGTTGGGAAGAAGCGGTAAACGAGAGCTAGAGCACAAGAACTCAGAGGGATTTTGTAGAACACGGAGAAGGAAATATCATCGCTAGGAAATCTAAGGTAGGGGTTATCATTATCATTATGATTGGTATGGGTTTAGGTATTTGTAGGTTTGTGTTCTGGACTGGGCCCGACAGGCCCAAAAGCATTGCTAAGGCCCAGTCCAAAGGGACTTACTGAGGACCACGCCGACCAAAGGGTCACAGCCGTGCCCGACATCCTGATGTCCAGCTCGACATCCTGCTGTCCCGCTCCACGTCCTGATGTCCAGCTCCACCTCCTGACGTCCAGCTCGACATCTTGCCGTCCAGCTCCACGTCCTGATGTCCAGCTCGACAGCCTGCTGTCCAGCTCGACATTGGGACGTGGAGCCCAACTAGGGCAGACTCAGTCCACTATTCCCCCAACGAGACTCCGGAAAGACCGCGTCTCTGTCTGCCCGCACTTCACGCAGAACATCCAGGAAGGGGACCACGTGCGGGTCCCCACTACCCACGTAGAACCTGGCAGTTCCTCCATTGGGCCAAACCTGCCCGGCCCAATGAAGGAACCTTGGCCCAGCGCTGGGGGCTATAAATACCCTCTGCTTCCAGAGGGTCAGGTATTCATCATTCTAACCTCAACTTACTATTATCTGCTCGTACTCCTACTTACTTCAGCATCGGAGTGCCTTGCAGGTACCCCCCCACCTCGTTCAAAAAAGCTTTCTGCTCGGAGCCAGCCGTGACGGTCCATTTCTGATCAGGTCAGATCAGTGGCGCCATCTGTGGGAAACAACTTCCCCGTCTAACGAACAATTCTAAGGACCAAAGCTCAACTCAACTACCTGTCATGGCTGATCCAGCTCGCGACGAGCAGCCCGTCCGTGTCGCCGACACTAATAACGGTACCGCGGACAAGAATGGACACCTCGACAACCCCGGTGATCCCGGCCACAGTGCCATCCCTGTGACAACCGCCCCTGGACCTTCCACCTACAGGGACGGGGCTACTGCATCATCCTCTACGACCCCTCCAGCACTCGAGGACGACCCGGTAGCTCTCTCTCATCACAGAGCTGCCCGGTTCTATGAAGTCCCAGTTCCTGCCGGGGCAGATGCCACGACTCAGGCACTGTTCGCGGCCATCAACCAGACAAATTATCTCATATTCGCCCAAGGAGAAAGACTAAGGGCACTTGAAGATGATCGACGACCCCCGAGGAGGCATCAGAGGCCACCTTCCCCACCTCCTCGGGTCGAAGAAGTTCGACACCTTTCTCCCCCGCGGAGACACTACAGGGAGAACTCCAGGAGCCCCTCTCCCCGACCAAAGCAGAGGCGGCCCAACTATGAGAGACAGCCCGCCATCCCAGCCGGAGAACCCAGTCGCGACCCATCAAGGCACGACAGGAGGCACGCCGGGGACGGGCGCGTGACCTTCAACCACCGAGCATCACGCTCGAGGGAAACACAGCACGATCATCGTGCCAGACATAACTACAGGACCCCTTCTCTTTCTCCGGAGAGGAGCGACGAGGACGACCCCCGCGGTCCCCTGTCGCAGGCCATCATGGATGCACCTATCCCCCCGGGCATGGAGAAGCCCCCGCATCTGAAGGAGTATGACGGAGTAGCGGGCCCGGTCGACCACATTGACGGGTTCGAAGCCATGCTCCACTATCATAATGTCGGGGGGCCCATCAAGTGCCGTCTTTTCCCCACAACTCTCAGGAAGGCGACCATGGACTGGTATAAAGGGCTCGCCCCGGGCTCAATTACATCGTGGCGGAACCTGAAGAACCAGTTCATCAGTTCCTTCACAGCTTCTCGGCGCCACCCGAAGACCGAGGCGGCCCTCGAGGCCATCATCCAAAGACAGGATGAAACCTTGAGGGAATTCATCAACCGCTTCAACCGGGAAGCAATACAGGTCTCCTGCGCGGACCATATGAAAAGATATTTGCTGGAGAGGGGCCTCCTCCCCGGCACAAAATTCAGAAAAGCTGTGGGTATTGAGCCACCTCCAACTTTTGATGCCCTCCTCGACAAAGCCCGAGCATACATGGACTACGAGGAGAGAGAAGCTGCCAACAGGGCCCGAGACTCCAGGGCTCACGCTCCCAATCATAGCAGCAGCTCGCGACAAGACCCTCCTCCCCGACGTACCGGGGAGAAAAGGAAGGAAGATCGACCCCGGGAGGTCCGGGAACAAAGGGGCCCCTCGGGCCGTTTCACCGAGTACACTCCGCTCACGGCTTCCCGCGAGCG